CATCCATCTCCAGCTTGACACTGAGCCTGAATGGTATTTCAGCCCTCTTTGGCATCTCTTTTTCCACAGATCAGTGGACCCACATTTACTGGATGTGCATCCTATTTTCCCTCTTGTGCAACCCTAGGCTTTCTGATGCTATAGCAGGACAAATGCCCTGTGAAGCCACATAGTCACTGAGCAGAACCACTCAGTGTACACCAGGACGTCAAAGGACAGACTTGGGTACATTCAGTCTCAGATACAGACTTTTGTTGTTTTTCTTCTTTGTCTTTTGGAGCCCCTCTTGTACTTTGATATGGACATGCAGAAATAGTAAACTGCTTGCCTTTGCAATGCGAATATGGACTGCTCAGGGCATTGATTCTACAGATCCTAGCAGGACAGCAGAGCAGCACTGAGAAACCAAGGATATCCATCAGCCGTATTGCAGCTGCCTAAGCTGTTGAATTCACTGAGGGTCACTGTGGTCGAGTGTCCTTACCAGCCAAGAGATAAGATTGCCCTGGAGATAGGGATTCTAACACACTGAAGTCTGACCAAAGGCTAAGAATGTTTTGTTTTGTTTTGTTTCGTTTTGTTTTTCCATGGGGACTCCTCCAGTAAAGAATTCACATGCAGATTTTTCCTGTGTTTCCATCTCATGCATCTTTTTTTGCCACAATTGTCCAATTGGTTTACAAATTTCTTTGTTTGCCTGGATGATTGTTTTCATTCCTAGTGGGAAAATCAATCATACAGAAAGGGTTCAGCAGAGCATGGGGAAGAGGGATGAGATCACAGAATCACAGAACGGCCAGGGTTGGAATGGACCTCAAGGATCATGAATCTCCAAGCCCCCTGCCACATGCAGGGCCACCAACCTCCACATTCAATACTAGACCAGGTAGTCTAGAGATCTGGTAGGGAGATCTCTGGTAGAGATCTGGTAGGGAGGCCTGGGAAATCTGTCACAAATGCCTAAGATGCAGAGAGTGGCTAGATACACCTCAAGGTTCCCGATTTTGTAAGAACCAGGTGTCATTTTCTGGTGTATTTCTTCTCACCAGAATGTGAGGGAATCTTTCATCCTTTCTCTTCCACTCCTTCAGCAGCGAATTATCATTACTTGGCGCATCTCCTAACCCTGAAGATGGCTAATTTGTGTACTGAATTTTCTCACACAAGCTAGGAGGCAGAGTCCTTCTGTGAGCTTTAATGTATCTGTGTGTTTTAATAATGAATTACTGTTGATTTTGTACAAATATCTCTGTTTAAGAACTTCAAAGTCTTTGGTGTTTTTCTTCCCCAACCCTGCCTCGTCTGATTTTGTGCTTTTTGCTGCTGCTGTTGTTGACACTCCCATGCGATTCAGCCTCAGAGAAATAAATATTTGTTTAGCTGTTCTCCTGCTGTGCCTGCTCAGTGCATTTGCTTAATGATGACTTCAGTTCGGCTTTCCAAGGGTTTTCAGCAATAGATTCTCTCAAAGAGAAACAATAGACTCATTTTCTGACATTGGTACCTACATTCTTTTCCCATCTTGTTGTCCCTTCTTCCCCAGAGTAAAGTTTGATTAAATAAACGTGCAGGCAAATGGCTATTTCCTTGCAATAATAATACATGGATTTTTATCCTCTTTGTTTCAGCATTATCAGTTGCCAAGATCAGGAATCAGTACTTACATATTTTTCCATTCCATTTATCTTGAGTTGAGACAGTAACAGATTGAACTCAAGCAAGTACCTGCTGCCTGACCTTGCCATTACTTGAATTGTCTTGAATCTGGAATTTTCTTATTTTCTTCTAGCACATCAAATCACATTCTTGCTTGTAACATTGTTCTATAGCCAAGCCCAAACCACTGTTTCAAAACCTGCATGTGTTCATACTTTAGGAAGGGTTACTTTATATTTCAATATCTCAACCCACTTCAGTCAAATCAGAGATATTCCTTTCTACTCGAGACTTTTTTTTTTTTTCCCCTGTGGAAACTACAGCACTACCTGGCAGGGAAATGAACAGATGATTTAATTCATGCCATTGCCACTATTTGAAATAATTCTGCACAGGTGAAACTGGAACTTTTCTTTAAAAAGAAAAGAGAAAATACAACACCAAATAGCATTATAAAAAATCCAAACTATGGAAAGATTCAAATTTTGTTTTCTCTTCTTGGCCATCTAAAAATCCTCCTTTAAATTACTTAAACCACTTACGATTCACTTCTGAAATATGGCAAGTATAATTTTGCCAATAACTAGATCCAACTTCTGAGCTATTTTCTGCCAGAAAGCAGAAATCACTTCAGTGAAGTAATACATCAGGCTCTCTTCATCTATTTCCAGCTGATGAGGTTTCAGCTTATAGCAGAGATTGTTTTTTATTAGACTCTGAGTACACGACCTGGCACTTGTGTAGCTGAGTTTCATCTGACTACTATCACTTTGGTCCTTAAAGTCATCCCACTGCTTTTTTGTATGATATTCAGAGCCTCCTCCATAATGATGATTCATTCCACAGTGTGTCATCAGCAAATTTTGTTGGCATGGTCCTCCTTTACTGTGCCAAGAACTGTGATGAAAATATTATGTAAGATTTATATCAAGAATCATCTCTGAGAAATTCAACCAGTAACCTTTATCTAGTTTGACTGAAATTATGGGAATTACAGCTGGAAAAGGACCTCAAGTCCAAACTGGATCCCAAAGAAAGATGAATTATACTTGGCAGATATTTGTCCAATTTGTTTGTAAATATACTATCTTTATGATACTCAGTGACAGTAAGTACCTCAGCTTCCAAATGACAGGAGCGTTTTTTGTCCTAATGCCTGCCCTGAATCACTTCTCCAACATTTCCATTGTTTTACTTGTGCTGAGCAGAGAAATAGACTTAGCTCATTTTTCTTGTGAGTGATGCTCGTGCTCACAAACCACAGTAACTGTGTTCTGACACGTTATCTTCTTATTTTGAGCTGGCTCCACACACCCAAATTCACCAGCTGATGCTTTAGTGCAGTAAATATTTCACCATAGACATTCATTTGAACGTGAAGTTCTATCCACTGAAATCAGTGTGCTTGCATTATGAGGAAATCTCCAGAGTATGATCATCTTCCTTTCTGTTTTTGATCTTAACTCAAGATACAGCTTCCTCCAGTTTCAGGGTCTTGGTCTTTTGAAGGCTTCTATTGAAGGAGACCAGAAAACTTTCCCTCTTCCAGACTTCCCCAAGTATTTTATTCCATACAACAAATTAACAATTCATTTTCCCATCAGTCCTTAAGAGTGCCTTAGCTCTCTGTCCCACAAGTATTCTGACCATCCTGAAAGATTCTTCCATTGCATTTCCTTCCAAATGGAAATTTGAAGGAAAAAAAATAGGATACGTATATAGCAGAATAAATTCAATGCAACCTTTTTCTGCAATATTGTGTTACCACTCAGGCAGTATCACATTTAGAAAGTCCTACACATAATGCTAATAAGAAACCCAATTCCATCTTATTCTAATTAACCTGGAAAGCCTTCCTTTTTATAACATGAGAGACTTCAAAACATTCAGAATGCTAATAAGCCTACAGGTATTTCCATTCTTCATATCTTTTGGTATATGCCATTCATTAAGAATTGTTGCTCATTTCAGTGTTAGTGTGCTTCTGTTGGTCTATAGAATTTTAGCATTTTGAATGATTGCATCTCTTGTTTGTTATTTTTTTATAGACAAGATAAAAAGTCTTATTTTCCCTTGTTTTGATACACGCTAACATTATGTTAATAAGAAAATACACAAGTCTTAAGGCTCAGTCAGGGAACTCTCGGTTGCTCAGATAATTCACCATGGGAACAATGACTGAACTGTAAACTATATGCTGAGGGTCCTTTTTGCTTCTCTCTTCTCTGGAGACTTAAAAGTCTTAAAGCAGGAGATATAAAGGCTTCTTATGCAACCAATGCAAGTTGGATCTATGAAGCATAGGGTTTTTTGTTGGCTTTCTCTCCCCTCAGCAATCATTAGGTTGTGCTTAACCCAAAGTGACTTAGTCTAGTGGTTATTAGGGTCTGGTAATCAGAATGAAATCAAATTCCATTTTTATGTCTTTGGTAGAACATGCTCTGAGATTTTGATTAACCTAATGGTGAGCTCCACTTTGGTATCCAGATAGAATCATGGAATCACCAAGGTTGGAGAAGACCTCCAAAATAAGCCAGTCCAACAGTCCACCTTCTATGAATATTTCCCCATTCAACCATGTCCCTTTTGTACTGCCGTGCCTTCAAAAGAGAGCTAAAACTTGTTTTTGGAAATACTTGGAATCCTCCCCTTCATCCCCCAAATGAATAGTCATAAAGCCGCATGGTCCTTAAAGTCAGTTCCTCAGTAATAGCACAAAATACAGTGTTTAACACTGTGCTACTAGTGCTGTAAAACAGTGCAGTATATTTTTCCACTGGGAGAGCAACACCCAGTTAACACTTAAGTTAGTGAAGTGGAAATTTCTGTGGCCTAATTTAAGAAGCAGTCAAATGTCCTAGGTGAGAAAGTTTCACTAAGATGTAAATACTGCTGTATTTCTACTTTGCTTAAAGCTTCCAGGCTGGTGAGAATGGCTGAGGTATAGGAGAATTGCAGTAGAAAGAAGAAACCCAATATCCAAATAGTGTTTATGGCTTAGCATTTGAAATGATGGATCTAAAGTGTTCTTTTTCAGCTCATACATGCAACAGGCTTTCTCTAAGTGTTATCCACAAGGGGAGAAGAAAAGGTAATCTTACTTGTGAACTGAGATTAATTTATGAAAGTTTGCAAGGCCTTATTTATAGTTCTGTGTGCCAGAATCGTATTTCCATTAATAGTCTCTCCAGGCCACCACTGGAAAAATATTACAGTCTCAAATAACGTAATTGAGATTTGGCAATGTGAATTTCACTGTTTTCTTTTTTAACAGTCTGCTTCCCAACCTTTTCCTTGTTCCACTCATGAACTCCCTTCATGTCTCTGTGTTCTTTCCCTGGCAGTCCAGTACATCCTTCAACCGAGATGCTGTGAAAGCAGGGACAGGCCGGCGTTTTCTTGGTGGGCTGTTAAATGATACGTCCTACTGCTACACCCTGGAAGTCTCATTCTACAGCTACATCGTGGGTGGAACTACTGCTGCTGTCCCTTACACAGAAGAAGCATGTATCCTTTTGAAATCCTGCCTCTTCTTGCAGAGCACGTGAACTGAGCACTTAAGGTAAATACTTCTATCTCAGTAAGAGTTTGCTGAGATAGGGACACACAAGTGGAAATGTGAGTCTGCTCCTGATGCTTTAATTTCCCTCATATTGATTCTCCATACTATGGAAATTCAAGAAGAGAAAGGCGCATTAGATCAAATAAACAATTTCCCTCTTGTAGGAGATTGTCTCACACACTTACTATGGAAACAAGTCCTGGAGAGCCTCTGATCCATTCCTTTCCACAGTCTTCTATTTCTTTCTTCATTTCTCTCCTTATACTCTCATTATACCTGCATTTGTATTATTGTTTTAATAGCAAGTTGAAAGTGCATCTTTGGTACTGAGTTAAAATAACTTCTCTGCCTTTGAACTGCTGCCAAAAGGCTCTAAAGTGTTCATTAGGTTCTGCAGCTGCCTCAGGGCCAGATCTTTAATACTGGTTGACAAAGAAATGGAAAGCAAGCTCTACAAATAAAGCTGACAAAGTTGTCCCCATTTTTGAGGACTTGTAGGTGCGTTGTCTCACTATTGAAAAGGCACGTATCCATCTGGCTATCTCACTGTATCCAACAGTTTATAGAATTGTGGTCTTGTGGCCTGTTTTTATCTTTCTTTTTTTTTTAATGGTCCTCAATCAAATAACCATTGCCTATACTTTAAGCCTGAATATCTTGTTTCATTTTGTCGTTCTATCTTGGTAGCTTTTGGAAAATTATTCTGAATCATTTGCATGGTTGTTCTTTGATTTAGCTTTTGGAATGGAAGGTAAAATCTGGGAGAGGAGACTGAATATGTTAAGGTGAGTTAGAAGTCTTGAGCATTTGGAATACAAAGTCCTTTTTTTCAGTCACTTTGACTATTACACCTGCATGTTGCCACTGAGGACAAATTTTTCATGTCGGTTTAGATATTTATTTCCTTATGTTGGTATTTTGGCCTTGTAAGACATGTGCCTTATTTTCACTTCTTATTTTCCTCCTCACTTAGCACTCTTTGTACTGACAACTGCTTATTTATCCTCTTATTTATCAAGAATAGCTTTTGCAGCGAGGAGTGGGAAGAGTCCCTATACAAATGTGATCATGATTCCCTTGAGTATGTTTTTCTTGATGACCTGCAGGTCATCCTGGCTTAATTTCTTTTTCCAGAAGGATTCCAGAAGGCTGTCTACCCATGTCATATGCTTTGCTGTCATTTTGCCCTGGTAGATTTTATTATTGCCTTTTGAATGGGATTCAGGAGGGCTACTTATGACAGCTCTTCCTCAAGTGTGCAGTTTCCTAGTTAAAGAAAGAAAAGGAGCTGCTTGATGCAGATTCTGGTCCTTTCTGCTCTAGCACAGGAGTGCTTGGATTTATGCATGCTGTATCCTGGCAAGGGAGACGTTTTCATCACACAGAAGTGACTGTAACCAAGAGTAAAACAATTGCAGAACGTTCCCATTTAGCCTGAACAACTCTTCCAAGCTATTTGCAAGTCAGTGATTAATTAATGCTCAGATTTTTTAATGGACCTGAACCAAAGGCACAGCCAGTCAACTCACATTGGCCTCCAAGGACAGGCGTGCTTCTGTTAACTATCTAACTACATGCAGACAGCAAGTCAAGCAAATAAATGAAGAAAATGTAGCAAGCCCAAATACTGTGAACTGGTAGGGAAAGTATTCAGGAAATCTGCCTTCAAAGACTTATCTCTTAGGACTTTTTAAAAATTATTATTTCTTATGATGAACATCCCATAGTGATGTTACTGGTTTGTGAGGTTGTTGCTGTTGTTGTTGTTTTGCTATTGTAGTTGTTTTGATGCTGGGTTTTTTTGGTTTGGTTTGGTTTGGTTTTTTTTGGTTTTTTTTTTTTTTTTTTTGTCAGATTTTGTTTTGTTGTTGTTTTTCATAGAACCTGGATCAGGGTGGCTGGTGTTGCTCAAATTTCCTCAAAGTTACAGGCTGTGATTCAACTTCCACATTGGGCAACTCACAGAATTTATGCAACTCACTGTCTTGAACAGAGACTACAGAGACCATACCCCATATTCAGCAGTGAGCTACACTGGCTCAATGAGAATCTACAAAAATATTCATCTAGCCTAACATTTTTCTAGAGTTGCCTGGTAGAAATAAACCCATCTGACAGGTGAGAAAGCTGAATAAACTGTTAATAGTCTTCTGTTTGCACTGGTGGCATGTAATTCTACCTGTCAGCCTTTCCTTTACAGCATTTAAGGCAAATAAGATCAAAGTACCACCCCCTTTCATGACATTGTAAAAGTGTATTTTTTTTTTTAATTTTGTTGTGTTCTTGGGGGTTAGGAGCTACATTACAACCTCTACATGAGTCTGTATTAGATATGTTTCTATTATAGAAACATAAGATTATGGATAAGATTATGGATAAGATTATGCATTTTGTTCAGACTTGCATGGCTGAAGTACAGTAATTCTTGAAATAAATGAACAGCTTACATACAAGAAAATGGGAGACAGACATTCAATGCAGCAGCATTATTTGAATTCTGATGTAGTCAGAATTGTACCTCAAAGATTCAGCATTTAGAGGATTACATCTGGTTTGTTCTATGAAAGCAAAGAGCAGAATTCACTTTAAAGGAAATCTGGGAGTGAAGGACCTTCCATCAGTCTGTGCAGAGCGTTTATGTCTTGGGATCTCTGTGGTGGGATAACAACATTCTGTGGAGCACTGAATTTCTGTTCTCTTCTAAAATAAAAAGAGCTAATGTGGTTACATGAATGTCTCAGGCATCAATTAGCATTATATCAGTGATATTTGCTGGAGTGCCTCTTGTGCTTTGCACTATGAGAATATTGCATCGGGTGTAACTTCCTGAACATCCTGTTATACATGCTTTCAGAGGTTCATATGTACCTGGTGGTGTGCCTAACTGACATGTACCTGGTTTACAAGAAACATTAGGGATATGTTCTATAAGCCTGGCTCCACAGAATATCCTGTGATAGCATGCTGCAGATAACAGTGAATGTGCTGTGTTTCAAAGCCATAATAAGAGGATTGTAAGCTTGTCAGTCTGTTGTGTGGAAGTAAATGGACAGAGGAATGTTTAAAACCCTTCTCACACACACACACATTTGGTGGTAACTGATTAAAAAGGCAGCATAGCAACAGTTTGCTCAGCACAAGGTAAAGAAGCTTTAACATGAGCTGATATGCTTCCATTAAATACCATGTTTTACTAGGTATTTACTGGGCTTATGACATGAGGCATGTAAACTGTTCCATAGCATTCACCCCCAGAAGCTCAGCTGCTGGGCTGTCTTAGGTACACAACAGCTTCATAGCTGGGCAGGGAGCAAAGGATAAAAGAGGGGGAGGAAGGATGAATCTGCAGCTGCAGGACTCTGAGCGCTGCTGATAGCACACCCAGAATTGCTTTCCTCAATAGCCACTGATCAGCAGCTGTCACAGCCTGACCTAAGAGTGGCCACTAAAGGAGCCTCGCATCAACAGTTTTCACATCTATTGGGTTCATTTTTTTTTAGAGCGTTTGAACTGGATCCCTGCTGCACAGCAGGCATCCCATAAGAGAGCATAAAAGGTTTCACTCCTCCTGAGCCTTGCCAAGAAGTAGCAGACAGAAATGATGGAGGCAAGGCAAGAACTGGTGTGACTGTAGCCTGGTAGCTGTAGGGAGAATAATCAAGATGAGTGGGTGCCACAAATTATCAGTGTGTCCTTGGCTTCATTGTGTATTATTTTTATGGTAAGCTTTCCCTAGATAGGAGAGGTCCCACCCAAAGACAGGTCTTTAATCATCTATTTATATAGATTTACTGTTGGCATCACTTCTGAGTGGAGCAGGAGACCGGAACCCTGTACCAGGGCCTGATGGAATAGTTCCCCTTTGTATGGCTTTTCTAAGTACATCAGTTTACTTCTTTGATGTAGTATCCTCAGTATATAGAAGGGATTCAATGATACTTCTTTTGTTTAAAAGAAACAAAACAAAACTATGCTTTGGAAGTCACATTTGAAGAAATGGGCATTATTGCTGTTATCCCAAGATAAGTTTTATCACATTACAAACAGCTGAGATAAGAGCTGGATACTTTAATGCTGCAGCTGAACAGACTTGTAAAGGTACAACTTGTTTTTGCCATTTCACTGTATATATTGAACTGGAAGCTTTGTATTCATTAAACAGGGTACAGTTGCACTGCTGAACTCCTATGTTTATGGACGTAAAAGATGCCTTAGTGGCTACATCTTGTGTGCACGCTTGTCAGCACATGCAGAATGACAGCTTGGATTGGTTGGAGTCTCTTGACGTGTCTAACAGGTAATTGAATCTTGGACCATTGAGACAGCAGGGACCCAATTGGCTTCACTCTTATTCTCCAGGCTACCAGCCTGCTGCCTGACCTCTGTGGATGTCAGAAGTTAAATACTCTAGAGAAAAGAGTCATTTGCTTATATGCAGATTCTTCTTATAGAGTACTTGGATCTCACTGAGTGCCTGTCCAGCAGAAAATAAATCTGTATGCAAACAACAATTATAGTAAAATCATCTGTAACTTTTAGAGCTTCATCTATCTGCTAGTCCTTTAGGGCAATGTATTTGGCTATTTGTAGTTTTTTTCTTTTTTAGCAGCTGCCTGCCTTGATCCTCGCAGCTGTGTTAGTGCTATCCTTAGAAGATCCTCGTGTGCCAGATTATAGCCCTTGCAGGTTCATTCCCACCCAGTAAAGTCAACACTACTAGCAAAAGCCAGTGAGATATGCAAGGCTATGCTGATAAATCTGAGGGAGCTCCTCAGAGGTTACCCAGCATGGCTTATGTTTGAACTCGAGTTAGAACTTGTTGCCAAGATGATTTCTAAGTCAGGCGTATAGTCAGAAAAAGTCCTCCAGAGGTCTTCTTCTTTATACTTCTTCTGTTAAGCTCCTAGAAAACAGGCTCCTTTCTGTGTGTTGCAGAAAAGAAAAA